AGGAATTAAAATTCACCCTTCATTTGGAGGAAGTTTGCTTTATTTATTACACAATATTTATACCCCACTTGATTGTACACCCTTGTGCAAATTAATTGAAACAAAGCATGTTTTCTATCTTACCTGTAATCCTGTACTCAAAACAAACATGAAAAGTCAGTTGATCATTATGGTGTCCGAAGCCTGCAGCTAATAGAAGGAACGATGCACTCACCACAATGTATAGAGGTTCTATGAAACAGTTATTCCAGAGCTGGAAAAGAGGTATCCTGACAGTACTGGGAGATTGCAGCAGGACCTAGCCCCCTGTCACACATCGGAAGTGGTAAAGAAATTCATGACAGAGCAGCAAATACAGGTACTTGATTGGCCAAGGAATTCCCCGTATGTAAATCCCATTGAGGATTTGTGGACTATATGCAAAAGTCACCTCCGTGCTGTAGACTGTACGACTATGGAGAAGCTCATTCAGGCCCTGATTCAAGTGTGGTACAGGAATCCGAAAACCAACAGTGACTATTTGAAACTAGTAGACTCCATGCCAAACCGTGTTCAAATGCTGCTTAAAAATAGCAGAGGTCATATCCATTACTAATGTACGTATAGGTGAGTTTTGTACATGTATATGTGAGTTTTGTACAATAAACCACATTGTTTGTTCCAATTAATTTGCACAGGGGTATAACAAAGGGGGTTATGGAAAGAATAAAACAACAAAAATTATCAGTAAAAACACAACTATTTAAAAACATGTGTCCAGCTGGTTTCGTGGCCTACAGCTTCCTAGAATACCAAGGTGCCACGTGGGCTTCACAGCATGAGAGAGGGGGCATAGGAGTGATTGTGTAAACCACCCATTTCATCTTTCTGCTCCATAGCGAGACCTGGGTTGAATCAGGATTGCCAGCTTTCTCTGGTGGAAAATCCCCCAGAGTGTTCACATCAGTTTCCATCAGTCTCTGAGGGAAGACCACCCACCATTACAGGGAATATTGCCACTGCCAGTCCAAACTTAAGTACATAATATTTCAACCATGACAAGGGGGCACCCCCCATCATCAGTCCATGCTTTGTTGACATGGATGTCTTTATCAGTGATCCATATTCTTTGGGATTTCAAATTTTGTTACATGGCTAAAATTTTATTTATTAGTACAAAATGGATACCATTCAGACCACTCCAGTAGCTTCATTTATACCGCAGACAGACAGCACAGATACTCACAACTGCTTCTATGTGACTGGACAATGCATGCAGCCTGAGTGTTTGACTGTTCTGGCTTCCATTTCCAAACTCACCATGAGCAAAGGCATTTCAGCAGCCTGCGTGCATGATCCATAACCTCCAAACTGTTCCCTAGATGCAGATTCAAAGAGAAAATATTTTCTTCTCCTCTGGAAATTCTTCTCTCACCTGCCTCTAGAAAGATGGAAGATTAACAATATGACCTCAGCACTCTAACTCTGCCTCAACTTCCCATGGTATTCCTGGGCTCCACCAGTGACTGCTTCATTTCTTCAGGTGGGTCAGTGAACCAATAATTGATTTCCCTCCATATCCTAACCTTGATCAAAACATTGGGTTTTCTATTTAGTGCTTTCTCGGGGCACCTCAGACTAGCTGTGTGATCTTATCAGCTTCTGTTGTCACTGAAACTCGAGTTTCTACAATAAGGAAAAGAAGTTGTTTGAGGAATCTATTTCAGGAGGGACAAACTGATCTATTGCCAGTCCATGTCACCTTTGTACGTTCTTAGTCATGGGTCTAGTACATCCTGTGTTCACACATTTTAAAATCTGCAGTTAAATACTTATTTTAAATCATGCTTAATTATTGCAAAAAATATAAATAAAAATGCCTATTTCAAAGTGTATTTTGGGAGATATATTCTTCACCAGAGGACTGTGTTTGAATATTCAAGAAATGCAAAATTAATTGGATAACTTTTCAGAGCCACACAGTTGCACTGCAGATAAGATCAGTTTATATTGGAATTTGAAATTTCTCAACAATCTCTAGATATTTGACAGCATTTCAAAATCCCATTGGGATTTTCAATGACAGTTGCCTAATAACATTTACACACACTCACACTCACAGAGAGCACAAAGCCATTGACTTGAAAGAGACTCTAGAGTACTTCATGGGCACATTTTGCAGGATGCTTACCTAAAGCAGGCCCTTTGAAATGGACAGGAGCAGGGCAAAAACTCAAGATGGAGAAACCCAACTATCACAGGATATTCAGCCATGCACAAGAGGCAATGGCTTATCCGATTTTACAGATAATGTTCTCTGTGAGAGATGCATACAAGCCCAATGACTGAAAATCCAAACTCTGTTGTGAATTTCTGCCAGAAAGGAGCAGCCTTGCCTAAGGATCTGCTAGGTTCAAAGTTACTTCCTCCACATGGCTGCATTCCAAGGGTCACTGCTTGTGAGGAACTGGCAGGCCACCGTCTTAGGTAATCAGCAAGCAGTAGTTGTATTTTCAAGAAGATTTATTATACACAGTAATTAACCTCAGAGCCACTTTCACTAGCAACTGTATATCATGAGGAAGTTGAGGCATCTGAGCTCATATTATGTCGCAAACAAGAAACACAAAAACACCCCCACCTCTTCTTCTTTGATTGACACCTTTCCTTATCCTTTGTTCATCTGTGAGCCCTTGGACTCCCGGGATCATCTCCCACCCCTTCCTCTGATGAAGAGTTTCCCCTCCCCCAGTGCCGGATTTATGTATAAGCTAAACTATCTATAGCTTAGGGCCCCACTCTCTTGGGGGCCCCCAAAAAAATTAAAGAAAAAAAACCCTGGATGTACATTTCCAAAATATAAGGTAAGTTCAACAATTACTTTGATAAAATACATATTTTTGTTATTTGCAAATGGCTTTAGATACCTATTAGGTCCATAAATTACCATATAGCATATATTCAACACAAAAAACAGCGACAATTAGTTGTTGACAAAGGACAGCTGGACATATAAAGGGCCCCATTACCTTCAGTCGCTTAGGACCTCCTCAAACCGAAATCTGGCCCTCCCCTCCCCTGTGAGGTGACTAACGGCTGTTCCTCAGAGACTTGGCGTCCGTCCAGCCTGCTGTCAGTGTACTGATAAGGTGCAGTCTCTCCTCCTTTGGCTGCCTGAGAAAAGGGCAAGTCTCTTTCTCCCTGTTCTGACTGACTGCCCCCCACTCACCCTGCTCGTTTTGACTGTGGGAAGGCATGCCCACGACACTGCTGCTACTCCACCTTGGGCAATCTATCCCTCGTATTTACATTAATCAAAATGACGAAATAGGAAATGATAGAAGTGTAAAAATATTATGCCTGGTCTAGAGAAAGACCATACAGAGAAGTTTCTCTCTATCTCACATAATGCCCTGGCCATTCAATGAAGCTGAATGTTCTGGACAGACAAAAGAATACTTTTTTACACAGTGTATAGTTGACTTATGGAATTCACTCACACAAGATAAAGTGAAGACAGCCAACTTGGATTGCCATTAGACAAATTCATGAATGGTTGCTAGTCCTGGTAGTTATACTTCTGCTATCACTGTTGGAGACAGTATGTCTCTGAATACCAGTTGTTGGGGAATCACAAGTGACAGGTGCAGTGTCGCATTCTGATCCTGCCTTGGGCTTCCCGTAGGCATCTGGTTGGCCACTGTAAGAACAGAATACTGTACTAGATGGGTCTTTGGCCTGATCCAGCAGAGTTCTTCTTATGTTCTAATGCTCTCAAATAATTCCCACTCTTTTGTATTATCATGTGTTGTTTCACACCATTCTTGAAGATCACACTTTGCAATGTGACTTAAGGAGTGACTTCACTGCACTAATATCTTTTACGTTCTCAATTCACTTCTGCATAATCTGATTTTTATACACTGTGCATAAATTATAGGCACTTCATCAACGTCTCATTATTTTCTCTCCTAAACAATTCAATGACAGTGATTAATTTCTGAAGATCCATAAACAAAAACCTAGCTTGGGAAGGGCATTAAAGCTGAGCCAGAATGTTTAGCACAGCCTGCAAGGAACGAAGACACATATTAAGCATGGAAGAAAGCAAATCATAGGACACACAGGCATACTTACAACTGATTCACACATTGTGAGTGCCAGACACAAGAACTCCCCTGGGAGCGATTCCCATGATTGGATATGCATGGTTATAATGTGCATGAATGACTCACACAGAGAGTGTGTTCTCTGATGTTCTTCTGAATTACCAATATGATTCTGAAGGGTTGCTGTTCATGGGATTGTTAGCTGAACTGCATTTATGCCTTGACTGCCATTAGGATGACTGTATATATAGGCAAGTAATAAGGATAAGGGGTCCAGAGGGGGAAGGATATCAACTTTGTGGTATCCGTAACACATAACTAAGCTTCAGTTAACTTCTAAAGGATATGATGAAGCTCAGAATTCAAAGATGATTGCATTTCCCAAATTCACAGTGAACAGAGAGATTTGATTTAACTGCGTATATATAATGCTGAAATGGCAACCCTATAAAAGTTTAAAGGGGGGAAATTCAACCAAATGCACAGGGCTCCTGGAAGGCTTTATGGGCCACTTGATCCTTTTTAAGGCAGGTAATAAGATAGGCTTCTTTAGTGTGGGGGATTTTATCCACATCTACAAAATATGGTAACTGTCAAGGTAAAGAAAACACCAGGCCTGCAATTCAGTGAAGCACATAGCTAAGGGAATGTTCGGAATTGGTCCATGGTACTTCAAGGTGGGGGTTGGCAACAGGAGTGGTGAAAGACAAGGATTTTGCTGAATCAAAAAATGGGGGGAGAATGCAACTGGGCATCCTTTCAATGTCCTACATGTCCATAAAATCAAATAATTGATTATGGTCTTCGAGGAAAATCTCTATCTTTAGGGACTTCCCCAGTGTATCACACATATTTATCCTATTCAAAGAATTCAGGGCAACTTTGACTTTGTCATATCAATCATATCAATCAGCTGGATAGCTCAGTTGGTTTGAGCATGGCATTGATAATGCCAAGGTTGCAGGTTCTATCCCAGTTGCATACTGACTAGCTGATCTTCAGGGTCCCTTCCAATCCTACGATTCTGTGACATGTTTAGCCTGGAAAAAGAGGAGACTGAGAAGAGATATGGTAACCATTTTCAAATATCCAAGGGCTGCTAAAGTGAAAATGGAACAAGCTTGTTTTCTCCTGCCCTAGACTGTAGGACCCGAAGCAATGGCTTCAAGTTACAAGAAAGAGATTCTGACTAAGCATCAGGCATAACTTTCTGATGGTAAGAACTGTTTGACAGTCAAATGGACTCCTTTGGAAGGTGATGGACTCTCCTTCCTTGGAGGTTTTTGAGCAGAGGTTGGATGTTCATCTGCCGTGGATGCTTTAGCTGAGATTCCTACATTGCATCAGTTTGGACTAGATCACCCTTGGGGTCCCTTCCAACTGTACAATCCTATGATTCTAAGCTTATATCACTTCTAGTTTCTTTCTCTCTCTCTCTCTCTCTCTCTCTCTCTCTCTCTCTTTCTCTCTCTTAATGTTCAAGATGTTGATGTGCGACAGATAAATAGCCAAAACTGGTATGTAAGTGGGTTATTATGAATATTTATAATTAGGAATAACTCAGAATGTTAGTGCCTGGATCCAGTTGTTCTAAAAAGTTTTATTAAAAAAATTGCCATGGCAGAAAATTCTTGGGATTCAAATTAATTTGTCACTGAGAAGTATCATAAAAATGTAACTCCAATTTGAGGTTAAACTAAAAATTCAGAAATCTTGATCTCGAGCTAACCACTTGGGTGTACAAGTAATTGGGATGTGGGGAATTAAGTCAAGAGAAGAATTATAACTGCCTCTCGGAGTCCCAAAGGAGCGCTGGTTTGAGATTGAGACAGGCTAAAGGTGCTTTAATAGGGAGTCTATGAAGTGTGTAATCACCTTCTCTGTGTCTCAGCTACTTGTAGAGAAACATCCCCCAAAATGTCATGCAGATCCAGTAATAGCTTTGTCCTTTAATTTTAGGCCCAAAGGGAAAAAAAGTAGAATTCCAATAACCAGTTGTGGAAATGCACAAAATAATTAAGCAGCAATATCATGGATCATGAGCCACAAATAATTAATCACCAGTATTACAGAGAGAAAGCAAGAACTGGTTCAAAGAACTTTTCTCATCCCATTGACTCTTCCCTCTAAAGGTAAACTGGGCTTTTCCACCCTGTTCATGTCAGATATGCATAACCTAGTGTGGTATTTTGAATCAATCCAACAAGGAATATGAGGCAGGTCTTACGCCTGCAACACACAAAGTGATGCTGAATAAATATTGTGAAATGGGAACTTTCACCCGAGGTACCACTGTAGTTGTTTCTACTGTTAAGCTCCTGGGACCTTCACCAATCTACTAAAATCACCATAAGATCAAATAATAGATCTTCACCTCCCTTATGCCCACCACTGCTCTTGATGTTGGGCCAGACCATTGGGGGATAAAATAAACATCAGTTGAAAACCCCGTGCAGAATAATATCTGATGTGATTTGTCTAGAGAGTTAGCATCTGTAACTAACTTCACTCCAGGAGCTATCTTTGGCTCTTCAGCTACAAAATATTTCTTTTTCCATATTAAAGGATACATGGCCTCATTGGCTATCTTTAACAGAAGTCTGAAGCAAAGTGAGGGAGGCATCATATACAAAATGTTCTCAACCGAAGGCCCAGTAACACAGCCACATTCCAGAAGAAGATTGCCACCTTTTCTGAAGTCCAGGGCTTTGTGAAGGGCCTAGCAGATTGCTCAATGCTGAAGATAAGAATTTGCATTCAACTCCTAACTCCACTCTCCGAATTCTGTGATTTGTTTCTTCATTTCTTTCAGTTATTTTAAACATACTCTGGGGGACATTTTTCATAGACACAGACAAGTTATAACTCTGATGTCACTTCCCAGCAAAACTTGTTTACTGCTGGTCAGCTTAGAGAAAAATATGGTACCCCGTGGAACACAGAGAAAGAATTTATTTGGGACATAGTAAGCCACACGGTCATTAATGTGTTAACCGTAGTTTACAGTAGAAGAGAAACAACTAACAATACTACACACAGGCACACAAATAAACAATAAATTCTTATTTATCATATTAATAACTATTGGAATATCAGAATATGCCTCTGATTGAGTCAGACCATTTATCCAGCTAGTTCATTATTGTATACAATGACTAGCAGTAGATTACCATGATTTCAGATGGATGTCATTCTCAGCTCTGTCTAAAGGTACTTGGAAATCTTCCCACAGCAAAAATAATTTGAAATCACTCAGATTGGCACTCAGAATGCAAGAGTCTTCATTTAGAGTGCTTATGTTCACCATAAGTATTCAGCCAACTTAGAAACACAGTTGCTTGGCCACAGCAAGCCTACTCAGTAACTCTACAATTTCTAAAATATTTTCCCTCTTCAGTTCCTTCTAAGAAATAATTAGTTGCAGTTAGTCATCACCAACCTGTTGCCATCTTTAAATAAGAAAAGAAAAAAAGATTGGAGGAAAAACAAAATGAAAGGATTATAACATGAATTAATTGGATATTTTGTAATGGATCAGCACTTATTTAGCAATTATTTCACAGAAATGTATTTACTGAAGTCCACATTGGAGACAAATTGGCACTGGAGTACAAATTATTGGCAGTAATAGCAAGATGGAAAATGTGAGAGAGTGTGAAAATGCTGCCTTTGGCTTATCCAATACGCATATCAAGTAAATAAAAGCCATGATGACTAAAGGCCTGAAGCACAGAGGAGGAGGAAGAAGAAGAAGGTTGTTCCTCTCCTTCTCTGAGATACAATCAACTGGAGGACCAGATTGTGAATTCAGCTCACAATATAATTTTACTTGGCATAGCAATCCTACTAATTCTCTCTCTCTCTCTCTCTCTCTCTCTCTCTCTCTCTCTCTCTCTGTGTGTGTGTGTGTGTTTGTGTGTTCTAAGTGGTGAACAGCAAATTACGAGAAAATAATATGGGCCCATTCCATCAGCATCTATAAGCTCTGCCTATCTCATGGTACCCTCACACACCCTATAACTTCTTCATTTATAAAATGTGTTGTTTGTTTGTTTGTTTGTTTGTTTGTTTGTTTGTTTGTTTTGAAGAGCTGCTTTCCAATTTGGTGGTGGTAAACAGATTAAAGATTGTGAATGGCCAAGCAGATACAATAACAGGATTTGTAACATACAGCCTGATCCTATGCATGTTTACTCCAAAGTAAACTCCACTCATTTCAGCGAGACTTACTTCTGGGAATGCATGCATAGGATAACAGCCTTATATAGAGCTTCAGATATCAATAGCAAATGTTTGGAGTTGAAGTTGTTTACACACACACACACACACATACACACACAGCTACAAAAAAATAAACTTGGACACAGAAGGGCAAAGAAAAGTCATTCTTTTTCTCTAATTCAAAGGATATCTGTCCCCTTCATCTGTTGCCAGCAGATAAGCATAAGAGTTGATCTGTTAAAACAGAACAGAATGGGAATGGTGAGATGGGAAAGAGAGCTCTCAGGAGGACTGTTCTGACATATGTGATGAGACCAAAACACTGGTAGTTAATACCAGGTACAAAATGTGAGCTTTCTGCTTCCTTGTTATGGGGGGGGGGGATACACAAAACAGAATGTACACACAATACATATGAGAATACATAAAATTAATCAAACTCAAAACTGTCTATTAAAAAAAATCAAGTCACTTAGTCACATATATATGAAAACAGTTTTTACAGCATTTGCAAAACACTGCACAATAAATACCAAATACATCCATGCTGCTCTATTGTCTGATCAATTTAATGTTATCTGAAATATCTTGCACCACAATAGTAAACTACGGTTGAAAGTATACAACACTGCATGCAAACGAAACTGGTACAACAGATCTACTGGGACACAGGTCTCCCAGTAAGGATGCAAAGCAATTTCTAAAATTTCCTCCTCAAATTTTCAAAACCACATCAATAAAAATTACAAAAGGGGGGGGGGAGTCTCAAAGCCACACACACTTTCCTCTCCTACATACATTTTATACTTCCATCTGAACTCAGGGAAGCTCTGCAAACATTTCAATCTCCTATTCTCTGGCCAATTAGCTCTCTGCACTCCTCAACTGATCCTGATCCAATGTTTAGCTTTAGTAAAGTGTCTATCCCATGTGTTTCTAAGCAGAAAAACCATGTGACCAATTGGACTGCTTGAAATCCAGCTTCACTTGAAATATTCGTACTACATCTCTTGTTATGGGGCCTGTTCAGCACATAGCAGACACTGAATGAGTCAGGACTGCTTTAAAAACAGCCCTATGTGCTATGTGATGCAGGCCTTCACATATATCAGAACCACAAACCTCCAAGTGTCCCTATTTTCTAGGAACGTCCCTGATTTAGAGAAGCCATTCTGGATTCTGATTTGATCCCGGAGTGTCCTACTTTTCCTTAGGATGTCCCTATTTTCATTGGAGAAATGTTAGAGGGTATGGAGTTACCTGACCCCTGAACTGTCTGAAGACTATCCTGTATAGGGAATTTTAATAAATAATGTTTAATGTTTTGTTACTTTTTTCTATATGTTGGAAGCTGCCCAGAGTGGCTGGGGCAACCCAGTAAGATGTATGGGGTACAAACAGTAAAATTACCATTATGGAATGGGATGTCCCTATTTTCATCAGAGAAATGTTGGAGGGTATGGAATCATACATCTGATCTGAGTAGGTGCAGAGCTGAAGGCTACATCTCTCCAGCCAAGCCTTAGGAGTGCCCTTGTTCCCTGAGTAGCCTTCAAGTGTCCAGAAGTACAAGTAGCCACATATTCCAACCGACATGTTCTTACATTAAGTCACCCTCTTTCTTCTGTAAGAGGAGAGGCCTTAACAGGCAGACAAAGCAGGCACCTTCTGAATTTATGGCTGGCACAACATACAATGTCTTGTGTCAGGAGAAGGTGACAATGTTATATACAGGTTCAGCAAAATGCTGATACATTGCCTATC